CGCACACGCACCACGTCTACCTCGGCGGATCCTTCCCAGTTAGACAAACTATATACTACCTGTTGCTCTCTTCATCTGTGTCACATTAAATATAAAAAAACAAAGTGATAACGTAGCTTCGTAATGGTTAAAGAATGTTTGAAATCGGTCCAGTGGTTTTTGAGTTATTTTAATACATACAAGAATACAAATCTTTCCTCTTTATATTATTAGTATAGATTACTAATATATTGCTAGCTGTCGCCCGCGACTCCTGCGCTGAATTTAAAGAAAAATTGTAGCCTATGTGTTCTTCCAGACTATTCTCTACCTCTATGTTAAATTTCATCGAGATCCGTTCACCCGTATAGGCTTTAAATTTATAAACATCCATCCAAACTTTCATATTTATAATATTACTAACATTGATATATGTGACTTATCAATTTACTATGTGTTAATGAGGTACAATAAGCTACGAAATTTTAAACTAAAATACTCCAAGGGTATACAAAATAAGAATTTGTTATGTAACCTCTACCGGGAGAATAATATGCAGTTATGTTTTGTAAAATTCAATAATATAATGTTATGTCTATCGACGGGATGTCGTATCAAAGAGAAATGTCTTACGATTTCCTATTGAATGTTTATGAAGTGTCGCGTGCGATAGCAGCAAGTAGCACGTGACGTGTCCGGCGCACGCGCAGTACCATATAACGCACTTCTCACTTTTTATATCATTGTATTGAAAATACAAAGCAAACTATTAAAGCCATCCGAACTGGAATATTAGGCAAATAAAAATTAGTACTTGTAGATATGTTTAAAATGATTTTGTATAGTTGAAGGGAATGTTGAAAGTATAACAGTAATCTTATTAGTTATAAGAATACATATTTCCGTTGTAACATTATTTGTATGTAGATTGAGCAATTTTAGTTCTTTTAAACGGTAACACATGTTACTCAGAAAAGTTAGACAGCGTACAAGTAAGTACGGTAACGTTGTAGAACAAGTGCTGACATAACGTACGATAAGTCACTTTGTTAACAACATACTTAGTGTCCAGTAGTCAGTCACACTTTTAGTGTACTAAAAACTTATTTAATTTACAAGAGGTATACTAATTCTAAATTGAATCCTAAAAAATTCAAGATATGAATAAACTAAATTCCACTTAATTTCCTTATTGTAATGCGGCGCGTTTAAAGTTACAGGACAAGTTAGTAAAACAAAATACGTGGTACATTTACCATGGTTACTTTGATAGGTAAAGTTTGTTGTACTAACGTGTGTGTGTGTGTGTGTGTGCAGCGGGCGGG